TTTTAAAATTTTGTAAATAAGTGATTTTTCTCCTTCACTGATGTGTGCTAATGAGGCTGCAGTGATGGGCACTGAAAGGCAACACTCATATATGGCACTGATAGGCGGCACTTACTGGCACTGATAGGTGACACTGAAAGGCAGCTCAGATGGGCACTGATATGTTGCATTGATGTGCACTGGTAGGCACTGATAGACACTGACAGGTGGCACTGCTGGGGCTACACTGATCATCAGGGCCCTGATGATTAGTGTACATGTCCCCTCTGAGGAATCATTTCCCTATTTACATGCGATCAGCTGTGATTGAACACTGCTTATCACATGACCGAGCCAAAATCTTTGGCTCGTTCCGTTGATCGGTGATCCGCTGTGTCCAATGGACACCGCACCACCGATCGCCGTGCTGCCGGAGCCGCGCATATGCGGTTAGAGTGGGAGGACGTCATATGACGTCCTCCCAGAACGAGAGAACCGCCTTGCGCCCGTCATTACCTTATAGGGGGGGTGGTGGTTAAAGTGTGTGTTACCATATATATTTTTTTTTCTATGCTTGTGTATTTCATAAACCATATTCATGTACATCTTCCAACTGAAGTACCTGGCCAGTTACCTTCCTTCCTTGTTCCAGATTGACCACACAAAATGCAGAAGCTGATCTGTGTTCATGTGGTCAGTTTTCTTCATTTGGCTGCCCATTCAGAGGTCAGAATACTGTGCAGAAAAGAGGGATGCCTGTATTAGGTAGTTTGTTCAGTCACCACACCCCACAACCAATCACAGCCTGCCTCATGAACACACCCTGTGCTCACATGTATCCTGAACATACCCGTGGCCCTGCTGTCTGGGCTTTACAGCCTGTTTTTTTCTAAATGTGAGTAATTTTTATTAACTAAACCCTTTTTATAAATACTGTACTATGGGGAATTCTATGTTTTGCATGAGCCTACTGTAAGGATCGTACCTCAGGAGAATTTAAACCAGCAGAGATATGAACCCCAGACACTGCAGGAGTCTTAAAGGGGAATTACCAAAGGAATCCCACATAAGTGAAAAAGGCGCATAAGACCTGTAAGTGACCAGGTCCATGTATGGGGGGTGAGCGCAGTGGTGGACACAACCTGCAGTGTGCGGATTGACAAGTTCCCACCCGGCTGCCATCTGGCTATAGAAGCTCGTCCCTCCGGGTGGATGCCATATGGCGTCCTTTCAGTCATGCGCAGTTTGCCTGCTGGCAGAGCACGCACATCCTGTCACCGTACCTCGGACACGGCCGATGACAGATCTGTGTACCGGCCCTTTTGCCAGTACTATGTGGCCTGCTGTGTCCAATCACAGCAAGTCACATGACAGTTGTATACAATGGATGGCTTCCTTTCATGCCATCCAATGTATACAAGTGTGGTTAGCTGTGAATGGTCACAGCGATCACATGCACAAGCTGGGCCAATCACAGCCCAGCTGTGTCGTGATTAGCCGTGGCCAAATCACAGCTAAGCACAAAAAAAAAAAACACTGAATGAATCAATTTCATTCAGGTAAATGCTTGCTTATAGCAAAGAAATTATTTGCTATAAGAAAATTGTGTTTAAAAAAAAAAAAAAAAATACTGATCACTTCCCCAAAGTAGTACAATGTTGCTATGGTAACACTATACTACTTTGGTCATAGTGAAATATGAAAAAAAATCTTTAAAAAAAGAAAAAATGTAATAAAAAAATCAATTTTTTTTTCGGACTGTCACCAGTCAGTGTCCCTGATCACCGCCATGCCAGTTATATGATGATGCTGTACTGCACTGGTGACAGTATGTAAAAAAAAAAAAAAAAAAAAATAGTGAAAATCATTTTTTTTATTCATTTCTGAAAAATTATGACAAAAAAATTACAAACTTCAAAAAACTCACCATGCCTGTTATGCAATACATCGGACTGTCTACTTTGCAAAAAGGGGTCATTTGAGGGATATCTGTACTGTTCTGACATTCTTGGACCTCAAGAAATTAGATTGGCTGTCAGTACTTCAGGATTGATCAATAATCAGATATATCCCATAGTTTGTGAACTCTATAACTTTCCTACAAACTAAATAATACATCCTAATTTGGGTTATTTTCACCAAAGACATGTAGCAGAATACATCTTGGCCTAAATTTATGAAGAACAATTATTTATTTGCAAAATTTTATAACTGAAACAAAGAAAAATTTTTTTTTTTTTTTCCTAAATTTTTGGTCTTTTTTTTCTTAATTTAGCAAAAAATAAAAACCCCAGCGGTGATTACCACCTATAGAAAGCTCTAGTTGTGTGAAGAAAATGATAAAATTTTAGTTTGGGTACAATGTTGTATGACCGCGCAATTGTCATTCAACGTGTGAGAGCGCTGAAACCTGAAAATTGTCCTGGGCAGGAAGGGGGTAAAAGTGCCCGGCATGGAGGAGGTTAAACACAGGAGGCGCTATATAGATTACAAGTGGTGAAGGTCACATCTTTTGCAGCCACAAGATTATTGTGATATCTGAAGAGACTTTTTATGTTTATTTACTTACCTATTCCTTCTGTACTGAAATGTATTGTAATTGTATTGTCTCCCTTATATTGTAAAGTGCTGCGCAAACTGTTGGCGCTATATAATAATAATAATTTACTTACAAGGACACTGTAAGAATACCTTTCTATTGGTAGAGTGTTGTATATTTATTTAGATTGATATTGATTTACACACTATGTTAAATTGCTATGTTGACGTGCATATGGATTATGTATTTATGGAGTAGGAGGGAGGGCGCAGCATTCTGTTTAATGTTGTTACACGGTCAGAACACTTTGCTGCTTGCAGCCACCCTATAGATTACACCTTATTGTGCAGCGTCATCAGTGCCTCCTCATCAATTCCCATCAGTGCGGCCTATCAGTGCCTCCTCATCCATGCATATCAGTGAAGGAGAACAATTACCTGTTTGCAAAATTTTATAATAGACACAAAGAACATTTTTTTTTTTTTAATTTTTGCTCTTTTTCTTGTTTACAATGCCAAAAATAAAAACCCTGTGGCGATTAACTTCTTCCCGTCCATCCTATAGTAGAATTACTGCTACAGGGTGTAAAATGGGACTCGGTGAGCGCTCAACATAGAAAGCAGCTGATACACGAAAAAGGAAACCATATACCTTCTAAAAGCAATATAAATGTAAAACATGCAGCGCTAATCATAGAAATAGAGATATAAATATCTAATTACTCCCCAAGTAAGTAACATGCGTAGTTAATACAATAGATACTCAGTAGATAATCATTCGGTGATTAATCATCATATTGGGTAGTTTATAATAATGTCCAGATGTGCAATGACTAGAATATATGCATAAAAAAAAATAAATAATAGTCCCAATAAAGTTCAGGAAATACAAATGTGAACACACTCTTGTGATCTCAGTAGTATCAATGGAATATTCCGGTGACCTGCGGGTATGGTAAAAATGCACACTCACTGGATGCACATTTTAAATGCACAGTGTGTAAGTATATTGCAGTCAGCCCAAGTCCCCTCGTGGATGGAATGGAATATCGCCCGGTCTGGAAATTTCTCGTCTGGGGTAATTAGGAGTCAGCCAGAGGTCCCCTTTAGGGGGGATAGAATGCAGCCTAGTATTCCTTTTTACTGGCTTCCAGAATAGAGTAAAACAGGAAAGCTGAGCCAGACTCTGGTGAAAAGAGAGAGGAGAGGAAAAGAAAAAAAACCTTTCAGAGATCCAAAAACCCCCTTTCTCCTCCTACCTCTGCTACAGCGTGGCATGGGTGCACAAAACCATATGTATGTGATTTTGCACTTCCGGGTAGCGAGCACGTGTGTGGCCATCAATCACTGGGTCCCGGCCAGTGATTGCCGAGGATCTCCACCGGGAAGGAGAACTGTTTGTAAACTTCTTGTGCACACTACTTTGCATGGCTGTACACAGCACATCCATACAAAGCAGTGTGCTTACAGTGAAGCACAAACACACAGCCCCCCAGTAAAACACACCAAGCACACAGTTAACCCTTTGATTGCCCCCTCGTGTTAACCCCTTCCTGCCTAGTGCCATTAGTACAATGTCGGTGCTTTTTTTTTTTTTTTTTGTAGCACTGATCACTGTATTGGTGTCACTGGGGATGTCAGTGACACCAAGTCAGTTCCCCCCCAGTGTCAGAATGCCCGCCGCAGTCCCGCTATAAGTCGCTGATCGCTGCCATTACTAGTAAAAATAAAAAAATAAGTTCCAGTAACTATTCTGCCATTTGTAGACACTATAACTCATGTAAACCAATTAATTTACATGTATTGGGATTATTTGTAGCAGACATGGCGCAGAATACATTTTGCCCTAAATTTATGATGAAATTTGATTTTTTTACTGGCTATGTTTATTAGCAAAAAGTCAAAAATATTTTTTTCTCAAAATTGTCTTTTTTTTATAGTGCAAAAATGAGTGTACAGGCGATCAAATACCACTGAAAGAAAGCTCTATTCCTGGGGAAAAAAAGATGTAATTTTCACTTGGGGGCAACGCTGCATGACTGCGCAATTATCAGTTACATTAACGCAGCGCCGTAATGCAAAAATGGCCTGGTCAGGAAGGGGGGTAAGTCCCCTGGAGAGCAAGTAGTTAAATACCACCTAAAGGAAACTCTGTGTGAAAAAATAATAAACATTTCATATGGGTACAGTATTGCATGACCGCACAATTGTCATTCAAAGTGCGACAGCGCTGAAAGCTGAAAATTGGCCTGGGCGGGAAGGGGGTGAAAGTGCCCGGTAGGCAAGTGATTAAGGAGGAATTGCACTCCATATCCCTATTGGCTGACTTTAGCAATCACTGCACTGCCTTCCCTTACACATTGACAGTACTGGCATTTGCCCGAATCAAGTATGGCGGCCGGGAAGCCCGGTCACGCCGGAAGTGATGCAGAACCCGGCAGTAGCGCCTTGGAAGGTGACAGCTCCGCAGGGCAGGACTCATCATGGTGGAGCAGCTCCGGCGGGACTTCGCACCCCCACAGGTCGATGTGGAAGAGGCGGGCCGGATTATGGAGACGTTCTCCCGGGGACACAGCTCGGAGGGGCGGCGGGTGGTGCTCATCACCTCGGGGGGTACGAAGGTTCCTCTGGAGTCCCGCACCGTGCGATTCCTGGATAACTTCAGCAGCGGCCGGAGAGGAGCCGCCTCAGCCGAGTACTTCCTCAGGGCCGACTACGCTGTCATCTTCCTGCACCGGCACCGCTCCCTCTTCCCGTACAGCCGCCGCTACAGCAACCAGAACTGGCTGGACAGTCTCCGCCTACTGCCCGTTCCCGCAGGGGAAGAGCCCCGGGTGGAGGCGGAGCCGAATTGTCTGCCCGGCATAGTGCCAGTCCTGGAGGAGTATGAGAGGATGAAGGGGGCGCGACGGATGTTGAGTCTGGAATACCACACCCTCTCCGACTACCTGCACCTCCTGCTGGCCGCCGCCAGGGCACTCAGCCCGCTAGGTGAGAGGGGACCCCAAACACAACACTGCACCCAGGGTCACCCCCAACACCCAGGACATGACTTCAGATACCTATCTGGGAGAGACAGTCCACCTGCTAGGGAAGAGGGTGACCCCAAATACCTACCTGCCCAGGGGATGACCCCCAATTGCTTACCTGTCTTAGGGGCATGGAGCCAGTCGGCCCGCCTGGTGGTCATTAAACCCACGGGGTGACCCCAAACACCCACCTGCTCCTGTCTGGAGAGGGAAAGGGCACTCAGCCCCTTGGGTGGGGTGACCCTGTTCACCTACCGCCTCTTCTTGTCCATACAGATATGGGTCCTCAGTCTGCTAGGTGGGCATTATACCCAGGGTGACCCAAAGCACCTGCCTCACCTTCCTGTCTGGGGGGCATAGAGGTCCTCAACACAGCATGTATGTATTTTACTTGAAAGGTAACCCCAACCAACTGCACCTACCTGTCCAGGTGTTATTGGGGTCCTCAGCCTGCTAGGTGCTCACTATACTTAAAGGGTGACGCCAACCAACTGCACCTACCTGTCCATGTATTATTGGGGTCCTCAGCCTGCTAAGTGGGCATTATACCTATGGTGACCCCAAACGCCCATCTTCCCTTCTTATCTGGGAAGAATATAGTGGTCCTCAGCCTGCTAGGTAGGCAGTACAGTCAGGGTGACCCCAAGCAAACACCTACCTGCTCCTTTCTTTCCAGATAGTATAGAGGTACTCTGCCTGCTAGGTGGTCACTATACTTAAAGGGTTATACTTAAAGGGTGTTCTAACCAACTGCACCTACCTGTCTGGGTGGTATTGAGGTCCTCAGCCTGCTAGGCAGACATTATACCTATGGCTACCCCAAACACCCATCTTCCCTTCTTATCTGGGAAGAATATGAGGTCCTCATCCTACTAGGTGGGCATTACACTTAGAGTGACCCCAAACACTCTGCTCCCCTTCCTGTCCAGGTGGTGTAGAGGTCCTCAGCCTGTTGGGTGGACATTACACCCGGAGTGACCCCAGACACCCACTTCCCCTACCTATCCAGGAGTTGAGAGGTCTTTAGCCCCTAGGTGTGCAATATATTTAGAAGATGACCCCCAAAAATCAACCTTCTCTTCCTGTCTGGTTGTAAAGGCTGATATAGAGGTCCGCAACCCTCCAGTGAGGCATTACACTGGGGGTGACCAGTCAAGGCTTAGTCTTCCTTCCCTTAGCCTGCTAGGTGGGAATTATTATACAAAAAGGTTGACCCCAACCAAATACCCCTCCTCTGTCCAGGTGGTATAGAGGTCCTCCTCAGCCCACTAGGCAAGAATTATACTTGAAGGGTGGCCAAAAGTCCTCAGGTGGAAGGTACATTAAGGTGGCGCCAGCCACCTACCTGACTATACCTGTCTAGGTGGTATAGAGGTCCTTATCCTCCTAGATGTAGATCACCCAGGTTGACCAAATCAACTCCCCTTTTCTTGTCTGGGTGTAAAGACTGGTGAAGAGGTCCTCAGACCACTAGGTAGGCATTACACCCGGGGTGGCCAGCCAAAGCTTAGTCTGCCTTCCCTCAACCAGCTAGATTACACCCAACAAACTGCACCTTCCTGTCTTTGCCTGTGTCCTGTAGAAGCCCTCAGCCCACAAAGTGGTATTACACCCAGGGGTGGCTTACAAGATGTAGTATTACATATTTCAACCTGCGAAGTGAGCTTTGCACCTGGGACGACCCCAAACACATACCTGCCCCTTCCTGCCTGGGTCTAAGGACTTGGAGAGAACCCTTAGCCTGCTAGGTGGGCATTATATGTTATACCTTTCCCCTCCTGTGTGCAGGCTGTAGAAGTCCTTAGCCCACTAGGTGGGCATTACACCCGAGGGTGACCTGCTAAGGTGTAGTTTTCCTTCACTCAGTCCCTTAGGTGAGCAACACACCTTTGGTGATCCCAACCACCTACCTGCCCCTTTCTGCTTGAGTCTAATTAGGATTATAGAGGTTCTCAGCAAGCTGGGCATTATGTATGGTGGATGACCCCAACCACTTGCCCCTTCCTGCCTGGGTATAAGTGCTATAGAGACCCCTAGCCCTCTAGGTGGACATTACCCCCAGGGCTTACTTGTCCTCCTTGCCTGTGTGTGCTATGTGGGGGGGGGGGGGGCACAGAGTAGACATTATTATTAGTGCTGTAGAGGTCCTCAGCCGTCCAGTTGGACATTACATTGGGGGGACATCTATTACCTCCTGCCTGGGTGTCTGCACCATAGTGGGCACATGTCAGGGATGATTCATAGTACATCTTCCAGGTTTATCACTTCCTGAATGCTGGTGTGTAGTATAGAAGTCTCCAGCCCTGTAGGTGGGTGTAGTGGTGGGTTGTCACCTCCTGCTCGGGGGGGTGTGCAGTATAGTGGGCACAGCTCGGGGGAAGGGACAGATGTAATACTCTCTGATTTGTGCTCCTTATAATGCAACAGGTGAATGCCAATCCCCAGTGCTCTGCCCACCTAGCGGGCTATGGACAGGACATCCATCAGGACAAAGAAGGTTAGGGGGTGTCAAACCCCAGTAGTGTGATGCCTACCTGTCTGGGTGTCTGCATTGTAAGAAGCACAGATCTGGATGTGCAAGGAGTGATCAGACACAGGTAAGTATGCATCTGTCAGTCCCAGTGTACCAGTGAGTAGTAGTACTTCTGAGTGTCAGCCTTGGCGGTAGCGGTAGCTTTCCCTTTGTGACTAAATGTGTGATAAGGGGCGCATGGCTTAGTATGCAGGGGTGATCACACACTGCCTGCCTGCCAGTCTCAGTATGTCTTCCATGCCATGGAGTAGTGTTGCAGTTTCCAGATTAGCGGCATAGTATTGAAATCCGGAGGTAGCCAGGCATTTGGCCTTTTTTTGTAGAAAGAAAGTCATTATTGACAGCGTCTTCCCTTTAGGGGCCTCAGAGCCAGATTCCAGGGAGCACTCCAGCTGACTGCGCCAGCAGCCGGAGATCGTCGTGTATGGCAGAAATGTATAGTATGCAACGGAGATCAGAGACAGGCAGTGCATTAGGAGAGCTGCCCATCTAGACTGGTGATTGATGGAGAAAAGGTCTTCTCCATATCCTGGTGATAGGCAGTAGGGCCAACGCTGCCAGCTTGCTTAGGAACAAAATCTTAAATTGTGGTTATTTTGTTTTTTAAATATTTTTTATATACATCTAATTTCCGTTGTTTTTTTTTCCAGGATCAAACGCCATGTTCTACTTGGCTGCAGCAGTGTCAGACTTCTACATCCCAGCATCAGAGATGCCAGAACATAAAATCCAGTCATCTAGTGGTCCATTGCAGGTACCCTCTACACTCACAGTACACCAGAATTGATCAGCACTTACATTGTCTGAAGCACTTTACTGAGTCCCTTGACTTCAGTGACAGTACATGTATACAGTGCAGCCAGCTTGTTCCCTCAGTACCAGTTTTCTTTTCCCCAGTGGAACCAGCTAACCTAGCTGCACATTTTTGGATGACACCCAAAATGATTGTATTTAAGTGGGACCTGCCCTGATAGACCATGCAGGCTGCCATGTTGGACCTCTTCTGAAAACACTGGACAAAGCAGGGTTTGGCAATCTGTCAGGTTTTTACGGCTGTCTTTGTTCCCAATGAAAGGAACACAGCACATTTTAGTGGCGTGAGGAAGGGTTAGAACTCCTGACAATATTTTAAAGGTGAACTCCAGCCTTCTCTTCTGTCTTGCATAGTGGTACAGGCTCATCTCATCTGTAGCAAGTTAGAGAGCCCACCTCACTTTACGGCTGGATGACGTTGAGCATCATCTTTTTCTTGCCCAGCCTGACTGTCCCTGACCCTCACCTGAGTTCAGGATGGTCGGGAGCGGGGAGAGCCTGCACTTGGGTAGGCCGGTGAGAAGAGAATTACAGTAGTCAAGGCGTGAGATGATGAGGGAGTGTACTAGACATTTGGTGGTGTCAAGGGTGAGGAAGGTACGTATCTTGGCAATGTTGCGAAGATGGAGCCTGCATGTGTTTGTGAGTGATTTGACATGTGGTTGGAAGGAGAGGTTCGAGTCAAGAATGACGCCAAGGACTTTGGCTTGCGGGGCAGGAGTGATAGTGGAGTTGTTGGTGATGATGGATAGGATGGGGGGGGGGGGGGTGTTGGCAGGGGGAAAGACGAGGAGCTCGGTTTTGGAGAGGTTGAGCTTGAGGAAATGTAACGACATCCAGTCTGAGATGTCATTTAGGAGGTGAGTGATGCGGGCGGAGATAGTGGGGGTGAGGAGAGGGGTGGAGAGGTAGATTTTAGGTGTCGTCGGTATAGAGGTGTTAGTTGAAGCCGTGAGAGTGTATGAGTTTGCCCAGGGAGGAGGTGTAGATGGAGAAGAGAAGGGGTCCAAGGACAGAGCCGAGGGGGAGGTGGCACCATTGTAGGTGACACTGAAGGAGCGTCGGGATAGGTAGGATGAGAACCAAGAGAGAGCAGTATCTCTGATGCCAAGGGAGAGTAGTTTATTAAGGAGGAGGGGGTGGTCAACTGTGTCGAAGGCCGCAGAGAGGTCCAGGAGAAGGAGGACAGAGTAGTCGCCCTTGGCTTTGGCGTTTAGTAGGTCGTTAGTGATTTTGGGGAGGGCAGTTTCAGTGGAGTGTAGGGGACGGAAGCCGGACTGTAGAGGGTCAAGGAGGTTATTGTCTGTAAGGTGGGAGCTTACTTCTCATAACTTTTGCCACATTTTATTATGTTACAGCCTTATTCCAAAATGGATTAAATTAATTTTTTTCCTCAACATTCTACAAACAATATCTCATAATGACAACATGAAAGAAGTTCGTTTTGAAATCTTTGCAATTTATTAAACATAAAAAACGAAATAAAAAAAAACACATGTACATAAGTACAGCCTTTGCCATGACACTCAAAGTTGAGCTCTGGTGCATCCTGTTCCCACTGATCATCCTTGAGATGTATCCACAACTTGATTGGAGTCCACCTGTGGGAAATTCAGTTGATTGGACATGATTAGGAAAGGCATAAACCTGTCTATATAAGGTCCCACAGTTAACAGTGCATGTCAGAGCACAAACCAAGCCATGAAGTCCAAGGAATTGTCCGTAGACCTCCGAGACAGGATTGTATCAAGGCACAGATCTGGGGAGGGGTACAGAAAAATTTCTGCAGCATTGATTGTCCCAATGAGCACAGTGGCCTCTGTCATCCATAAATGGAAGACGTTTGGAACCACCAGGAATCTTCCTAGAGCGAGCCTCCTGGCCATAATGAGCGATCGAGGGAGAAGGGCCTTCGCCAAGGAGGTAACCAAGCACCCGATGGTCACTCTGAAAGAGCTCCAGCGTTTCTCTGTGGAGAGAAGAAAACCTTCCAGAAGAACAACCATCTCTGCAGCACTCCATCAATCAGGCCTGTATGGTAGAATGGCGAGACGGAAGCCACTCCTCAGTAAAGGGCAAATGGCAGCCCACCTGGAGTTTGCCAAAAGGCACTTGAGGGACTCTCAGACCATGAGGAAACAAAACTCTCTGGTCTGATGAAACAAAGATTGAACTCTGGGCTGCATGCCAAGCGTCATGTCTGGAGGAAATCAGGCACCGCTCACCACCTGGCCAATACCATCCCTACAGTGAAGCATGTGGTGGCAGCATCATGCTGTGGGGATGTTTTTCAGCTGCAGGAACTGGGAGACTAGTTGGGCTTGCAGGACAGATGAATGCAGCAATGCACAGAGATATCCTTGATGAAAACTTGTTCCAGAACGCTCTGGATCTTAGATTGGGGCGACCGTTCATCTTTTAACAGGACAACAACCCTAAGCACACAATGGAGTGGCTATGGGCCAACTCTGTGAATGTCCTGGAGTGGCCCAGCCAGAGTCCAGGCTTGAACCCGATTGAACATCTCTGGAGAGATCCGAAAATGTCTGTGCACCGACGCTCCCCATCCAACCTGATGGAGCTTGAGAGGTACTGCAAGGAAGAATGGGGGAAATTGCCCAAAAATAGGCGTGCCAAGCTTGTAGCATCATACTCCAAACGACTAGAGGCTGTAATTGATGCTAAAGGGGCTTCAACAAAGTATTGAGCAAACGCTGTGAATACTTATGTACATGGGGTTTTTTCTTTTTAATAAAAGTGCAAAGATTTCAAAATGAACTTCTTTCACATTGCCATTATGGGTTGTTTGTAGAATGTTTGAGGGGAAAAAATGAATTTAATCCATTTTGGAATAAAGCTGTAACATAACAAAATGTGGCAAAAGTTAAGCGCTGTGAATACTTACTGTATGCACTCCCGAGATGGGGGTGGGGGGTTCTCAGACTGGAGTGAAGTTAGGGTAGGGATGTAATCCTGCTTCATTTTGCTGCAACAAAAAGTTGTCCATTTTGAATTATTTCAGATTACAATGAAGATGGTTCCTAAAATGCTGTCGCCATTGGTGAAAGACTGGGCCCCCAAAGCCTTTGTGATTTCTTTTAAACTGGAAACTGATCCAGAGATATTAATCGAGAGAGCTCGGAAAGCCCTGGAAACCTACCGCCACCAGGTTGTAGTGGCCAATGTGCTGGATACACGGAGGTCCTATGTAATGGTTGTGACCAACACAGAAGACACTAAGCTATTCGTGTCTGACAAAGAAGAGAGCTTGGGCATAGAGATTGAGGATAAGATTATCAATGACTTGACCTCCCGTCATACAAATTTCATTAAGCAGACCAGCACATACTCTCAATCCAATCAGGGGTTGTGATGATTCTCCATGGGTCATGGCACTCTACTACATCTCAAGATTACGAAGGTGTCATATATTATGATGTACTATGCAACCCCCTTTACAAATATCTCACAAGTTTGCTCAGCAACTTGTCTATTCCGTCCATGATGAGGCATTTGTACCTGTTATACTGCCTGTCAGTTTCTGGAAAGCACAGAATGTCTCTGCTAATTTTTAGCTAACAGGAGAGAGATGGCAGAGATACCAGCAGGGAGATGAAAAGAAAGCAAATTCTAGTAGACAGTCTAGGAGGCTAAATCTGACCTTGGGGAATCATGATATGAATTTGCTCATACCTGTGTATGCTGTGTACATCTGTATAAAATTATTGTAAATATTACAACTAAAATATCAAAATCCGTATTTTTGTAATGTTTGTGTTGTGGATCAGAACCGGTTCTATTTCCAGTACAGACCAACCAAGAAGTAAGAGCCACCTGTATTGCCTGAAGTGGCTCTCCTTCCCTTTCATTATTTAGGCTGCTGTGGACAGCAGATATTTCTTCATGGTTTAGGCCACCAACTTTTACTTTTACACCCATGTTTAACGTGTAGAATGTAAAATGCACCCCCCCCATGTGACAGCAGAGAAAGGAATCTTCTCTCTGCACAGGCTGTCACTCTTTGAAAACAGCATGGATATCAGCTTGTAATTTTCAATGACCTGCGAGGGTGCTGGTGAGCGCTCTTTTAGTTCAATGATTCTTCCTACAACTCAGCAACTGTCTGCTCATAAGGGAGGGTACGGGAAGACAGCTGAGTCTTTGGGATTCCTGCCTGTGGTTTCCTGATAGTGGGTGCAATTCTTTACAGGCTGCAGTGTTAAAAAAAAAAAATATATATATATATATACACACACACACACACAAAAACCTTAGCCTTTAAAACACCACTGTCATTGTATTAGTTTTACTTAACAGGTGAAACTCAAAAAATTTTAATATTTTTGCAAAAGTTCATTTTTCAGTAATGCAACTTAAAAAGTGAAACTAATATATGAGAGACTCATTACATGCAAAGCAAGATAGTTCAAGCCGTGATTTGTCATAATTGTGATGATTATGGCTTACAGCTCATGAAAACCCCAAATCCACAATCTCAGAAAATTAGAATATTACATGCAATCAATAAAACAAGGATTGTACATAGAACAATATCGGACCTCTGAAAAGTATAAGCATGCATATGTACTCAGTACTTGGTTTGGGCCCCTTTTGCAGCAATTACTGCCTCAATGCGGCGTGGCATGGAAGCTATCAGCCTGTGGCACTGCTGAGGTGTTATGGAAGACCAGGATGCTTCAGTAGAGGTCTTCAGCATTGTTCGGCCTCATGTCTGTCATCTTTCTCTTGGCAATGCCCCATAGATTCTCTATGGGGTTCAGGTCAGGAGAGTTTGCTGTCCAATCAAGCACAGTAATCCCACGGTCATTGAACCAGGTTTTGGTGCTTTTGGCAGTGTGGGCAGGTGCCAAGCCCTGCTGGAAAATTAAGTCAGCATCCCCATAAAGCTCATCTGCGGAAGGAAGCATGAAGTGCTCCAAAATCTCCTGGTAGATGGCTGCGTTGACCCTGGACTTAATGAAGCACAGTGGATCAACACCAGCAGATGACATGGCTCCCCAAATCAACACAGACTGTGGAAACTTCACACTGGACTTCAAGCATCTTGCAGTGTGTGCCTCTCCATTCTTCCTCCATACTCTGGGTCCTTGGTTTCCAAATGAGATGCAAAAGTTGCTCTCATCAGAAAAGAGGACTTTGGACCACTGAGCAACAGACCAGGTCTGTTTTTCTTTAGCCCAGGTAAGAAGCTTCTGACGTTGTTTGTTGTTCAGGAGCGGCTTGACAAGAGGAATACGACATTTGAAGCCCATGTCCAGGATCTGTCTGTGTGTGGTGGATCTTGATGCACTGACTCCAGCCTCAGTCCACTCCTTGTGAAAGTCCCCAACACTTTTGAATAGCCTTTTCCTGATAATCCTCTCCAGGCTGCGGTCATCCCTGCTGCTTGTGCACCTTTTTCTTCCACATAACTTTCTATTAATCTGCTTTGATACAGCACTTTGGGAACATCCAACTTCTTTTGCAATTACCTTTTGAGGCTTTCCCTCCTTATGGATGGTGCCAATGAAGGTTTTCTGCACAACTGTCAGGGTCAGCAGTCTTTTCCATGGTTGTGATTCCTACTGAACCAGACTGAGAGACCATTTAAAGGCTCAGGAACCCTTTGCATGTGTTATGGCTTAATTAGCTGATTAGAGTGGGACACTTTGAGCCGAGAATATTGCACCTTTTCACAATATTCTAATATTCTGAGATTGTGGATTTGGGGTTTTCATGAGCTGTAAGCCATAATCATCACAATTATGACAAATCACGGCTTGAACTATCTTGCTTTGCATGTAATGAGTCTATCTCATATATTAGTTTCACCTTTTAAGTTGCATGACTGAAATAAATGAACTTTTGCACAATATTCTAATTTTTTGAGTTTCACCTGTATGTAAGAGGAGTGTACACATTAGCTTTTTCCCATAGCTGGAATGGCAAAACTGCTGCAATCCTGAGAAATCTTCAGAGAAAGACAATTCTGGGAGTATCAATCAACATGGTTCCCCCCAACAGCTGTCAATAGTTTTGATTCCTCCTGCTGCCCTCCATACATTAAAGCAGGGGGCCGGATGTGGCTCTTGGGACACTAACCCACTTCCTCCAAGTGACAATAATGGGACATAATGCCTACAACTGACCCCAACGCTGGGGCAGCTTTCCTTTACCTGACACCAACCCCTTTACCCCTGATACCAACAACAGTGCACTATTCCTCCTAACACCACTGATGAGGTATTTACTCCTATTGACACCAGAGATATGTCTAGGCACAATGGCCACAGTCTGCCCCTTCAAAATCTGATGGACAGTGAACTGGCCCTTTGTTTTGAAATTTTGAAGACTCCTGCATTAGAGGATAACAAAGATCCCAGCTACAATCAGCCATAGGGGCAGAAGAAAAGGTGAGTGTTTACATTCTGCATGTGTCAGATGGCTGCTTCCCCTGGTGCACACTTTGGTATCACCCACCAATTTCTACACCTACCGTGGCATATAAGCTCAACTCATGGTGGGGGATGTAAGCATTCAGCACACCTGAACATGTTGGATAAGAAAATTCTGTTGTAGGCTCTGCACTACAGGGTACAGGTAATGCTTATTCCTCTTCTTTTGCAGGGTACTTTTTAAATTCAGGCCTTGCCCATACAGCCTGCAGCAACTTAACAGTAATTTGAATGGCAGTGTGTACAGCAAATATCATGCAGATTTCCTGGAAATCCAACATCAGCTACAACTACACACATCTTATGGAGATTCCTGGCCACCATTTTAAACACTACAAACAGACTGCAGCACCCCATGAAGCTGGTCTCACTCCTAACAGTACATACCCAACTGTATAACCATCAATCCATATATTCTTCAGTCAAATACAAAAATTTTCAAAAGCATGTAAACAACCCAAAAGAGCCACTTACAAATAGAAGACAATTTTAATATAAAATATAGTGCAATATAATCCACAAATGTGTTATTTAAGCTTGATACTCTTCTTAACCCCCGCACGGATTCCAGATATCTCTCCGGAGTACCTGACCTCCTCCTTGCGAACCTCTCGAACCTGGAAGATGAATTGAAGAAAGGATTAGCCGTAGACACAGGCATTTGGATGGAAAGCAGGAATAAAATGGCCTGCTGCCTACATGCAAGGAGATTAAAGCGGAAATTCAGTCCTACCCCCTCTCAGGTGCAACCATTATGGCACATGCCAACTTGTCCAGCTTTTGAGTCCTGGCAGAGCCACACTCTGTAGCTGATTTACAACACGTGCAACGAGAGGGAAGGTTTTGGACTTCTCTGGTAGCAGTCATTGTGCATGCACTGCTGCACATGAGCAGATGGCCAGGAAAGCTGGCACATGCACAAATGTGGCACATGGCTTCTTGAGACCAGAGTCCTGCAGCACATCTGCACAGAGGGCAGGGAAAAATTCTCACCTAGGCAGACATACTGCTTTGCAGCACAAATTAAGCACATTACAAAAGGAAAAAAAAAAATCCCATTTTTATGGAGGGGGAGGCAGGCCAGCACAACATGCTTTTTAGTGTGAAGGTCCACTTTTTAAAAAAGAGATCTGTGCTGACAGAAATATATCAAACGGCTATTGACTCAACCTTCTGAAAATTCTAGCTGTCATACTGATCCCATGCCTTCCATCTAAGTTGCAACTTTACCAATTGCATATTTGTTTCAATCAGCGACTCAAAAAAGCTAAAGATGACCAGACAACGAGCATTTTCAGAAGGGAGTCCTTAAAAGAGTAGTACAGCCAAAGCTTGTTTGCACTCCTGTGATCCACAGGAGAAGTACAGCCAGTTTGTTCTGCAGCCGTGACCCATTTTTAGCTGTCGGCTTACGTCACAGAGCCGGTCTAGGCTGGGGAAAAATTGTAACCTTATGGTTGGGACCCACCTGGGAGCCTGGGCAAGCACCTGGCTTCTCTGAGAGCCTGAGGCAGAAGCTCCCACCCCTTCCACAGCTTGGCGCTCCAGTGAGCGCTGGGGTCGGCAAAGCAGACAGCAGTGACTTACAGTCACACTCTCTGCTCAGAGCATCAGGGAGAGCTGAGTGATCAGCAGTGTTTGATCGCTCAGTTCTCACTCTTAGGGCTGGCGAGAGACAGATTCAGCATTGTATCGATTCTGCATCCACCGAAGTAGGATTTAGAAAAAAGAAAAAAAAAAAAATACTACTCTTAACATAAGCCTAAATATTTTTTAGTCTGTTTCCTTTTAGAATGGCTTCATTCTAAATACGCCAGTTACCATTAAAGTGTATGTCAACCCTAACAATGAACTTCCCTTATTGCTGTTAGTTACAGTATTTAAATGAGGTTTGCTATACCAAGAGCATGAAAAAAAGAAAAAACACCTAGTGGATTGCCAGAAATCCAGTGCATTCTTTGAGGCCTTGTCTAGGTCATCCCTCCACCTACAGATTTCTCCCCCCTGCCTCCATATTAAAGAGGAGAGGGGTAGTTGTTCTGTAGTCTTCACACGTCCTGTCCTAGGGTGACAGCTCCTCTATGGATACAGTACAGTAACAGCATTGTCACCCCAGAACAGGAAGTGTTACTGCCAGGATCCGCAGATGAAAATAAAGGGGGGGGAGGAAAAACCAATGCAGCCACCATCTAAGAAATAGTAAGATATCTTTAGTTCTTGGGTTAAGATACATTTTAAGGCTGTCAAGAAAGGGTTAAATCTCAGGCCAGTAAGACATTAAAGGGAATCAGTGATATTGTTTGTTTTTTTTTAAGTGTGAAAAAGGTGCTGGAAGAGGTTGCAAGGATTAGATTTTACAGGTGCGGGCTCCATGGCTGCCACCCTGGATTTATGACCCAATAAAATATTGCAGACAGTAAAATCTAAACTTATCCATCCTAAGTGAATCATTCAGTAGTGATGACAGCCCCAGAGTCAACATTGGCAGCCTCAAGGTATCACTTTACGGTCTGACGTGCAGTTGAGTCTGTGGAAGTCCGGAGGACAGCTCTGAACTGGGTAGACAATGAATATATTTTCCCATGACTTGACGGTAGTCATGAAAAGGGCCCCCCCTAACATGAGATGATCATTGCCATGGCCAGCTGAGGACTGATCTCTTCAGGAGCCTGGTCAACATTAATTAGGGGAGGAAACTAATCTGAGATTTTCCTGCATGATCATTTTCACATTATAAGGACCTGTGTTGAGGGGTTTTGTTTGCATCAAACCTGCATCTCTCCCTATGCACACCTATGGGACTATAAAATCAACATGAAGCAGGTCAAGCGCACCTGTCAAATCCTGACGAATCTCAGAAGCATCTCAAACTAATGTCACAAAGGGCTGCATGTGCTCATTGACACAAAGTCAAAGCTTGTTAACTCAGGCCTTTCAGCTGGAGTCAGCACAAATGTTCTACAATGATCACACAAAAGAACCTGTTACTGGACCCTAGAGGAGAGAAACTGGCCAGCGGATCACAGGTGATGTTCAAAATTGCTGACATTTGTGGTCACATTAACACTTGAGCCGTGAATCATTTACACTTCAGGCAAACACTGATGGCTGTAATTATCCTTTAATCTGCACTCAGGCAACCATCTCTGTTAATCTTTCAGTAATGTATTTATTACGTCCTAATAAGCTTAGTGTTGAGGATGGAACACTTAAATACGTGATGCAAAGAGCACACATAACTAGATTACATCTAATAAAAAAGAAGGAAACTCTATAGAGTTTTTAAAGTAAAACAGTAATATTTTAGGCAGTTTGGCTTCATCGAAGTACAGTAGGAGGTGAAAGGAGAATGAGAGTCAGTCACCCGAGCAGTTTTAAAATACTATTCTGTGCAAAGCTATATAGGACAGCCACATAGTATGCAACATTACCTTGGGCAACAAAGCACTTCAGTTCTGGCACTGAGCCCTCATAGGTTTGTATGGGAGTGTTCCAGAACAAAGGGGCTGCTTCCCAGGATGCAACATAAATGTTCACCAGCACACCACAAATCTTCAATTAAGTGAAGATTTTTTTAATTGAAGATCGATCACAGTGTAGTGCAACGTTTCGGAGCCGCAAAGGACCCCTTTGTCAGGCATGTGATGACATTGCATGCCTGACAAAGGGGTCCTGTGTGGCTCCAAAATGTTGCACTACACAATGTGATGTGATCGATCTTCAATAAAAAACATTTGGATTTAACTGAAGATTTGCGGTGTGCTGGCGAATATATATACTTTGTATCAAGTATGCTCCAGTATCCAGCTGGTGGTCACTTCAGCACCCAGTACTTTTAAGAGCCCATTCCAGGAACGTGTGATGGGAATATGGACTGTTATCTGCTTCCCAGGATGGCCCCATACAAATCTATGCAGCCACAGCGGATTCCTGCCCGAGATAAAGTTAATAAGTTAATATTGAACAGGAAATGGTTCTGCTATCCAGATCATGGGCAGGGGGGGGGGGGGGGGGGGTTTGGGCAGGTTAATTCAGGAGGGGTGGGGGGAGATTAGAGAGGATAAAAGTGTGGTAGTCCTGGAATACATCTGATGGACCATAAACTCGTAGTATAGACCCTTAAGACTAGGGCCCTAAACAGGGTCGCTAATGGTCAGACATAATATATTTGATGAGGTTTATCAAGCAGCACATTGATAGAGTCCTGAAACAATGAAAAATTGACAACTAGTGGTCCAGGACTGGACCTTGGTCGAGCCTCTGGTTTAGACTATAAGTGGTTTACTTGATAGGAACCCTGCCGTAGCACATGTACACATGGCTGTCAAACATACCTGGCCCTTTCTGCGGATTTTGGCACGCCTGAACTTCTCTCTGTGTTTAACCCTGGGGTTTCTGTCAATCTTCTTCCTTTTAGGTGTAAGTCCTTTATTTTTCGCAATCTGAAATTATCAACAGCAACAGATCAACAAATCTTACCTTGTTTTCCTCAGGTTTTATGCCACAAACATATACAGAAACACTATACTGAATTCTATGGTCATCTTGCAAAGGATTACTCCATCCAACAGTGATATTTCATCTATAAGTGGAATCTGGTTGGCTTAGCTGCCCGCTAGTTTCCAACAGACCATGAAGCCAACATGTACTGCAGGGCATTATGCTCTAGCCTGATTATGGATAATCCAGTTATCCTGCAAACTGTCTTAGTATTGTTACCTGGTAAGTAATAGCTCTCTTTGCATTGGGATCCATTTCTTCTGCTGGCACCTCATCACTAGAAAAACATAAGTAAATCTTAGAAGATGAAGCTGTCAATTATAAAATACATCACAGTACACCAATAATACATACACTGCCTCTTTTTTCCCACGCTTCCTTTTTTCTAGTAGTTTCCTCTCCATCATCCTGTAATAACTCAGAGCATCTTCTTCATCCAGATCTGAGTCAATGTCTTTCGGCTCCTCTAGAGGACGCTGTGTAAAACAGAAGTATGGAATGAGTAGCACTTACCAGGTATTCTATACAAACAATAGCATCTGATTTTTAACAAATGCATTTGAAACAAGAGCTCGCTTCTCAAGGCAAAGTGATATGTTTAGGGCACGTACACTATGGAGCCAACAGTTTGTGAACTCCTGATCATCACACCTACACTATAGAATGATTTGGGTTCAGGTGTTCTAGGGAAAGGGACTGTTTAAAACTACAGCATACAAAAAACATTTTAGACAGTTCTGCCCTTCCAAGTTTGTGGTAACAGTTTGGAGAAGGTCCTTTTTTCCAGCATTACAGTGCCCCGTGTACACAACCTGCTCCATAAAGACATGGTTTGGTGTCAAGGAGCTTGAGTGCCCTGCACAGAGCATTTACTTTATGCTCGTAAAGGATAAATTCACCCAAGTTCAAATTTTGGAACATGCTCCACATGTCAGTGTGACAGAGGGCAGGCGATCTTCCCCTCGGACCCCCTGTAACGTCTTGAAGAAGAGTGCAGTCATGCAGGGCTCCACCCACACAGCTGTGTCATTCATTTACAGTTTCCTGTGAATGAATGAACTACAAGTACCATCAGCCACCACTGCTGACAGCTTGTAATTCTGAATGAACTGTGAGGGAGCTGATGAGTGCTTTCATAGTTTATTCACAAGCCCTGCAGCTTTCAACAGATAGCCCGTATGAATGTGCAGGCAGAAAGCTGCAGGGCCTGTCTACAAAAGCTTGACATTACACAACTGACCCACTGATCATGGATGCAATGTTTTCCAGGCGCCTGCAAGAAAAAAAAATAATAAATGTAATAAATTCATTTTTATTTCTGCAAAAATATCTGCATTTATTATTTTTATTGGACCTTATCCTTTAGGCCTACTGAACACCTTTGGCATGAACTGAAACACTGGATGGGAGCCAGGGCTTCTCATCCAACATCAGTGCCTGACCTCACAAATATTTATTTGGCTGAATGGACACCAATTCCCACAGACATGCTCTGCAATCCTGTGGAAGCCTAGCCACAAAGCATGGAGAGGGTAGGGTCAACTCAATATTCCGACAGTTTTGGAATGGGACATCCAACAAGATCATGCACGTGTCATGGTCAGGTGTTCATAAACATTTAGCCATATTGTCTACTCAATATATCCAGAAACCGTTCAAATAAACAGAGAGAAGTGTTATAGAAACAACTAAATAGTGCTTTAGATCTAAAGCTAAACACAAAATACATGATTACTGCCAAATGAGTTGTAGGTCTGTCCATCCAGTCTTGTGATACACATACATCTCTTCATTAGCAAGATCACTCTACAACTTCCTAGTTTACTAGTTCCCCTAATGTCTCATGGGTGGTGATAATGCTAATTCATTGTGTAATAAGCAGGCTGGGGATAGAGAGCTGACACAGAAAGTTGTATTTCTGAAGCAGGAAGTGTGTGTTAACTGCCTGACTGTGCAGTGCTCAGAGGGGAGTAAATCACAAGACTGGCTCAGCAGATTCACAAATCATTTGGCAATCAAAATCTATAGATTTCTACTTTTTATTAGCAGTTTGCCTATTGCTAAATTTGTCATTCACCAATTCTGCAATTTACCTTGACAGCTGCTTTCTTGGAAGCTTTTGGTTGACCTTTTTGGAATTTAAATGCACCAGTATTTTTCCGGAAAATCTTCACTTAGAAGCAAATGTATTTGTGCAGATAATGTCTGATCCACAACCGCCAATTTGTTTATCAGCTGAATGAGAAAAGTATATGGTGTAAAGCTTTGCAAACACATTGATAGAAATGATAAATTACAGTAGAATGCCAGGCTATACCTACCTAACCTTGAAAACAACCCCCCCCCCCCCCCCAACACATATGCCAGCGGCAGCTGCAAGGGAGAGAGCGCTCAACAAAGGATAATTATACCAGGGAGTGTTGATGTTACCCATAGGCTCTTCATAGCCCATCCATTGTCGGCACTCCCTCCTCTCCCCTGCAGCTGTCTCTGTCTGACAAGGGGAGCTGGGTCATGTGGCCAGACTAGAGTGGTGTGAAAACAGGCAAGTACATAAATCCATCTTTCAAAGGTCAGTCAACATAGCTGTTAGGAGGGGAGAGGGAGCATTTTTAAGATTAGTTAGGTATAGTCTGGATTTCCACTTAAACACAAATGCAACAACTTCATATGTATCAGAAAAAAAAGAAGACTAAACATTCCCTTTGAAGAATGGGATACTAGATTAAAGAAGCCTTGAAATAAAAATGGTGCAGTGGGAAAAAGGTCATTACTGAACTAAAACAATACACCAGAGGAGGTAATGAGGATACGATATGTGGTACACTCACATTTCTGTATGTAACCAGTCTTTCTATGACAGGGTGCCCAGTGATAGGCAGTCTCTTGGCTTTCAGAAACAGGTAATAGCTGATATTTGTGCAATAACTAGAAAAAGGAATAAGATATAAATTACAAGTTGTGCACAGAGAAAGATAAAATCACTAAATAGAAGCCCATTAGGGTACTTACTTCATATAAAGCTGGAATTTTGACTTAAGGTAGGCACTACCCTGAAAAACACAATTATGTCACTCGTTTTATCACAATGCATCAAATAGAAATAAAAAGACATGCCATGTAGTGATTGTCCATTACTGTTCCTCCCCCCCTCCTTCAGTAAAGGTCTATCAGTTTGATTAGGCTTATCATAGAAAATTATAGGAGCTTGGAGTCAGTTTTCTACTTTATTAATTTTTTAAACGCATAATGTATCTTCTAGAAGTTAGGATTTAGGATGATTTATTAGCTAACTAGACTGTAGCGCAAGCTTTCGAAGCACGTTTGCCTCTTCTTAAGGCCTCATCATGCACACAGGACATTTTACCAACTCTTAACAAGTGCCAAGCATTTTTTTTTTCCTGATAAAATGTTGCTGCCAGGAGAAAAGAAGTTAATGCATGAGACACATTAAGGCGCTTCAAGCACTTGGGATTTAATTAGTTTCATTGACCAGAAAATTAATTTAACGTATTCTGGCCACTAAAACTAATGCTCAAGCATTAAACGAGTCTAGCGTTTTAGGCATGTCAAGCATTTTTTTTCCTGCCAAAATGCCACTGCTCCTGGACGTGCTGGAAATTTGTTTTTTCTCCTCCATCTAAATGCCTGTGTGTGCGTGGATGCAAAGGCTAACGTGCAGGGGCGTTTAGAAGCAGGAAAAAAAAAAAAAGATCAAAAAATGCCACAAGCTCCAAGGAGCAGCATTAAAAACATCCACTGTGCATGAGGCCTTAGGCAATATGAACTGATAGTGAGGAGCATACATTTTATATATGTAATAACAAAGAGATGCAGATGTATTCCACCTCGTACACAAATGGCACTGGGTGCTTAAACAAATGATACTATGTATATAATGTATGCTTCTTATGGTTATTATACAGGATTTACATAGCACCAACAGTTTGCGCAGAGCTTAACAAAATGACTTCATACTTACTGCCTGAAGAGGCTACTGTGCTCTGATAATTTACTTTTCAATGTAGCCAATAAATGAAATCCCCCTAAATCCAAACTTTTACTTTTGTTGATGGCTGCCATAACACTGTGCTGCTAAGATTTTTGTACTAGTTATAAAAAAAACTTTATTTTACAAAATGTAAAATAAAGGCTGCACCAAGCTTTTTAGCTATTCAGCTCTATAAACCTGACGTGTTTCAACAAAGCTTACAAAGACCAACTTGGAAAAAAATATGTAATATTCATTGCCTGAACCCGAAATTAAAAAAAAAAAAAACAAACAAAAAACATTAATTTGGACTTGGATACTATTAAATTTCTAACTTTTGTATTTCTTCAAGTTTACGACTTCCTTTCAGAATCCCTGCCTCTCTTTGATTTAAACATCACATACCTTTCCTTTGGGGATGGTCCCGTTTCTCACCATCTGCAACAACGGTTGCAATTCATCTTTCACTTCTCCTAACTAAAAAAAAAAAAAGGAAGAAGAAAGAAGGATTGGCCATAGTATACCAAATGCTGCAGACAACAAAATGCCACCTAATGATTAATGAAAACTGGAGCACAAGAGAATGAGGGAAGGGTAGGCACAATCTTATTTTCAATGACTATATTGTCCAACTGCGATTGTTACGTATACTTTTTTCTAATCTCTTGCTGTTCATCAAAATATAAGAAACTGGGCAGCACAATGGCTAAATGGTTAGCACTTCCGCCTGGCAGTACTCAGGTCGTTGGTTCGATTCCCAGCTGCGGCACCTCCTGCCTGGAGTTTGAATGTTCTCCCTGTGCCTGCGTGGGTTTTCTCCAGGTACTCTGGTTTCCTCCCACACTCTAAAGACATGCTGGTGGGTTAATTGGCTCCTGTCTAAATTGTCCCTAGTATGTATGAATGTGAGTTAGGGACCTTAGATTATACACCCCTTGAGGGTAAGGGACTGATGTGAATGTACAATATATATGTAAAGCGCTGCGTAAATTGACAGCACTATATAAGTACCTGAAATAAATAAATAAATAATAAATATAAAGTGGAACTAAGCCCATTGATTTAAGTGTTTAAAAAAAGTTACATTCCTGGCATGCTGGGAATATTAACAGTCACATTTGCTTGTGATCTCAACTAAACTGTCAAACCATGAAGTGGCAGGTGTCATAACTGATCACATGTGCAGCACCAGTTGCAGATCAAGCAGAAGCTAAGATGGCAGCTTCCTTGGCTGAAAAGGATAGAAGGGTTTATTTCTGCTTTAGTGCAAACTGCCGAATTTCAGTTAAAAACAAAAGTGTCTGCTTTATCTGCCAATAGGCTTGAGAAGAAGGCCTAAGCCAGGGATAGGCAACCTTGGGATTCATGCCTGTAACTGTCAGAGTGCTGCAATGCCTGTTGGGACTTCGAGTTCCTGACGTGCCAAGCTTTCTTACCCCTGGCCTATTCAGTTAGATGGGTTCTGTAACCCAATAGTGGTGGGAAGATACAAGCAGAACAATGCTCAAGGTGGGCTTCAGTGTGGGGAATAGCAGAGCAAGCTAGCATAGTTAAGTATATTTAAAATATTGTTTAGCAATATGCTAAAAAAATGACACATAAAAAGTATTATGATATGTGCATATAAATCATTTCTTAAAGGTGGCTAGAATGTCAGTAACCTCACTGCTATAGCTGGTCTTCCAGCTGGGAGAAAATTGCATGTTGTACACCTAGCTCCCAACAGTGTGTGTCCTCATCAGACCCATTTCAGGGGTCGCCTGTCAATGTGGTGACATCCAGCAGAAGCCCAAAGAGCAAACAGGAGGCATGGCAGTAGTACAGAGGCTGCAGATTCTGAATAATGTTGTCAGCCTCCTAATGCTTTGAAGCCATATAAGAAAAGCAGCTGTGATTATCGTATAAATGTTGGGGACAATTCGATCCAACTACCAGTCTCTACGGGGCAGACCAAAGTGACTCCTTCAAGCAATGGTAGTGATAAGAGAGAGACAGTCTGTTTTTACTCCTACACTTACAAGGATAAGTTCACCTTTTAGAAAAAAAATAATGCAAATTTTTTTGCAGGTAAAAAAATGTGCATTTATTATTTTTGTCCAAAGGAGCCTGGAAAGCGTTGCAGATGCAATCAGTAGATCACTGATGCCATGCAGGTCTCCTGCAGACCTGTCAGAATATCTGCTTGCCATACAGGATGTATGGTCAAGCAGATTTTCTGACAGGAAGCTTTAATGAACTACCAGGGCACTCCACAGCACCATGGCAGTTAATTGAAGACTACAAGCCAACAGCTGCTAAGGCGGCCGGTACTTGTAAGCACTCATCCGCAGAACTCTGTAAATGAGCGACACGGCCATGTGGGCGAGACCTTGCATGGCCATTCTGTTTTCAAAACCGACAGATAGTACGGGGAGGATCCTCTCTGTCTGGGGGGGGTGGGGGCAGGCGCTGCTGTGGCTATGGAAACATGTTACATGTTCCACCCTGAAACCGGGTGAAACATGTTCCAAAGGTGAACTTATCCTTTAACATGATGTCAGTACTTTACCTTAAGCTTCAGATCCTGAATAAGTTCCAGCAGCTCTGGAGATTCCTTTTTCAGCAATTTGCGTTTTTCCTTATCAGACATTTTCTGCAAATCTTTTACAATCTTTTCTTCTGACAGCTTCTCATCGCTTGGTTTTTCACCGAATTCCTGCAGGAAAATGAGAGATAAGAAAATCCTAAAAAGATACTTGGAAGGTCTATTTATATAGATTTACTTCCATACAAGATATACTTTCAGCCAGGGTTCAGAGTTCACATGAAGATCTACAGTAGGCAAAAAAAATCTGCATCAAACACTTCTGACATGTCAGATGCCTGATTCCCCACTGCATTCTGCTAGCCCCTACTTCACTGGAGAACATAATAGTGACAGAGGGAGCTGGCAGATGGGACCAGGCATCTGACACTCCCAGAAGTGTGTCAGGCGCAAAAGACTAGTGGCGTGGCAGTGCAACAAGCAAGTACGGAGTCATCTTTATAGGCAGAAAGAAAAATCGAGTCTTGCATTAACGAGTCCTGTCTCTGCAACTAGGGATGCAAAATACTCACTGCTTTCATATCACTTGAAAGAGGCTCCCAGATTATATATACCAATGTTTTCCCTATACACACAGAAATACAAATTGACCTGCATAAACGGTTGTGTAGGCAAACATTGTGCTTTCAGATTCATAGCAGCTGAATTGTCTTCTATTGCTCCAGTTATAATATCCACTTTGCAGGGATTCCATACCCAATCTGGCATTCAGCCTTCTTGAGCCCTGGATACAGAGATATTTTCTATCGTGAAATGTAGGCATCATCATTTTACCTGTATGAAATCCAGGCCATAATCTTCCTCACTGAGGGTCTTTGCCAACCGTTGCTGGATATTTTGTGCTTCCTCTTCCTCTTCTTCAGCTTCCACCTCTAGCTCCTCTTTGCTTTTTTTATTTTCTTTATAAATGAAACAATTTTTTTTTTGACAATGTTAACTTTATAAAACTGAAAAAAATTCAGACACTCACCTATTGCTACTCTAAATCTGGCCATGTACTGACTGATAACATGGACTGGACAGATATCGATCAGTGTTTGGCAGGAATCAATTGATCAACTTTTGGGACATACTGGAAAACTATTTTGGATCAGCAGCTACACCAAGGTCTGGTGGAAGGGGAGACCGTGGATGTCCTGCTACATGTAATCTTTTGTGAAAAGCATTTTATGACTAACTTGTTAATAAGGGGGCATAACTATCCAGTATGCCTTTTACCTATCCTGGAAAAATTGAGCATGGCGGTAGAAAGACTGTCAGATTGTTTAGCTAAGAAATATAGACTTTATATTTTATTACATGGACAATTTATCACGGATATCTATACTGGATTCACTATATTTTTGGTTGTCTATTTTGCACTAGTCTAGTCTTCGCACTAATGTAGTTGTGTGATTGGTTTATGATTTTTGTCACAAATGCAAGCAGTGTTAACCCTTTGAGGACCAAGGGACATCCCATGTTTGTAATTGCGTGTATCATCTGATTAAGAACTTAAAACTCTTTTTTTTTGGTTTGAGTCAAAATATTAGTTCTTATCAACAAACAACAAATGGATCTAGCTTTTTGCCAATTATTTCATGAAATGGCTTAGTTACAGCAACTGAAGTGTACAAACTTTAAAAACAAAAAAATTGATTCTTTTGGCGTTCCAAAACCTTACGGTCCTCAAAGGGTTAAGCCACAGTAATAAAAGACCATCTGTGGTCACCAAGTGTTTTCTTCACATTGGATGGACTTACTATTTAATGGGACATAAACAACCTAAAAGTGGATTAAGAGATATTCCTCAAACAGCAGAAATGTTACAGCAACATATTAACATACATATCTGTTATCTGGAAGACCAGAGTCAAATGGGTGTGACCACCTAAATCAATCCAAAATTCATTAGAGTGGTGATCAGTGAAAAATACAAAAGATGTTTGCCTTTGTGTCTACACAAGTGCTTCAGCAACTCCTGACACTAACAGAAACATACATACTTTTACTGTATTCCTTGTAGTCTGTGTCATAGTACAGTTTCTTCTTCTGTCCCCAGGCCAAAGCATCCGGCAGACCTGAAACCACAGATCAGATTATATTGTAAGATAAAATATTCAGTCGTGTGTTATTGTTATACTTGGAGCCAAGTTGATGTCACCAAATCTAAAATAAGATATACACTGAAAACAGAAAAGTTTAATTTAATAGTTTCATTAGCATGATGATAAAGAGGGGGGTGGAAGGAAGCAAAATATAAGCAGCTTAAACATCAGTTTTAAGTTTACACGTATAGATTTGCTCTAAGACACCTTTCACACTTACATATTGGGAACTGACTATCATTCTCTTAATAAAAGATTTCCTTTCTGAAGAGTTCTTTCATTTATTATTAAATCACAATTGCCCATTGTTAGGCTGTGGGGTAAAAGACACCACAGAAAATGCAATCAATACATATCATGCTTTATTACAGTATAATATTATGAATGGGCCCTTATGCAACTCTACAAATGTCAGATCCTTGCAAATCACAGAAGCTCTGAGGGCAATACAAATAATTTGTATAGTTGGACCAACCATCATTTGAACGATCTTCTAGGTCACTTCCCATTGAAATACGATCATCTTCATCCTCTGCCTCGTCTTCGTCATCCTCTTCATCATCTTCCTCCTCTTCAGGAATATCAAGAGGCATAACCTCATCCTACAGTGAATTAATTGAAAAACTGTGTGAGACTGTATAAGAGCACAACAAATGGCATCTCAGCTTAAAACAATATAATTCTAAAGTGCACCTGTCACCTACATTTTGAGGGCTAACAAATTATTAATGTAAAAGCAGCCTATCCATTCAATACATATACTATATTGCCAAAAGTAGTGGGTCACCCCTCCAAATCATTGGATTCAGGTGTTCCACTCACATTCATGGCCACAGGTGTATACAATCAAGCAGCTAGGCATGCAGACTGCTTCTACACACATTTGTGAAAGAATGGGTCGCTCTCATGAGCTCAGTGAATTCAAGCGTGGTACCGCGATAGGTTGTCACCTGTGCAACAAGTCCATGCGAGAAATTTCCTTGCTACTAAATATTCCACAGTCAACGGTTAGTGGCATTATAACATAGTGGAAGCAACTGGGAACATAGCCTTCATATTAACAACTGGGCCTTCATATTAGCACAACAATAATGCGTAGAGAGTTTTATGGAACGGATTTCCATGGACAAGCAGCTGCATCCAAGCCTTACATCACCAAGTGCAATGCAAAGCGTTGGATGCAGTGGTGTAAAGCACGCCGCCACTGGACTCAAGAGCAGTGGAGACATGTTCTCTGGAGTGATGAATCACGTTTCCCTGTCTGGCAATCCAATTGAAGTGTCTGGATTTGGCAGTTGGCAGGAGAAAAGTACTTGCCTGACTGCATTGTGCAAGTGTAAAGTTTGCTGGAGGGGGGATTATGGTGTGGGGTTGTTTTTCAGGGGTTGGGTCCTTAGTTCCAGTGAAGGGAACTCTTAAGGTGTCAGCATACCAACACATTTTGGACAATTTCATGCTCCCAAAAGAGTCTCCATAGTTTTGCTTTATTAGAACTTGATATTTAAAGGCTACGTTCACCTTTAGGACCAGGTTACAACCATATTTAGAATATAACATGCTTGTATGCACCCACCTCCTGCCCCCAGCACTCCCCTCTCTGGGACAGTGGGCAGGGGATCTTCTCCCTGCATTGGCTGTCACAATTTGACAACAGCACAACTGTGTGGGGCTCCACTCACACAGCCATATTGTTCGTTCACAGGTTCTTGTGAATGATTAGACTACAAGTACCATCAGCCATTGTAGCTGATGGCTTAAAAGGTGAAGTTATCCTTTAATACTTCAACATCCCTATGTATGCTTTTCCACATTTACCTCGCTGTCGTATTCTTCATCAGCGTTGTCAAATTTGACTCCTTTTTCCATCAGACTCTGAAAGCACCATTAAAAGTTTGAATTACATGAAAGTACAGAAATAACAGCAAAAGTTTATCATGTCTTTTTTTAGTAATAACATCCTATGCTGACAAAAGTAAAGAACATTTGAAAAAGGTTCTACATGATTTACAACAGAAGATACTAATCCTGTTTGACCAAATGGGATGCTGTCCTTTCACTCTGGCCACTGAGCAGCCTGCAAGATCACTGGATCTGGTATCCGATATGAAACAGCAGTCTCTACACAGATCTGAATGTAATGATGTTCCCATGAAGCCTATTATCTCCATAATAAAAAGTAAAACTTCATATTTATAGGATTCAGGTTATCATGTTACTGCTAGACTAAATTTAACTCCTTTTGTGTGAGGTTTGTTTTCTAGCAAGGGATGTGCAGACAGTCTGAGCCCAGCAAATCTCATATCAGAAAAATGTATGAAAGTTTTTCCTGTCTCAATGAGTCAATAAAACAGCATTTCTGTGACCAGAAGTAGAAAAGTCATAGATGTGCCCAACTGCTTTTAAATTTATTATACTCCATGCAGCCATGCCATTTACAGCATAGCTTCCAGTGTATTTAGCACCGTTTTTTATACTTGATTTTTATGTTTTCAGGCTGGGCATCAGTTAACCTGGAAGACTGAAAACATCTGGAAAAGACTTAAACATGGTGGAAAAGAATTACTGGGGAAGGGACAACATTGGAGAAAAGGTGAGTATTGCAGCTAGGAGAGTATTTAAGCACCCTTCTGGTGGCCTTTTAATTTTGGCTTAGGTTGGGCTGTGCGCAAAACCTTTTCTTAGACCTGTTGCCACTGTTAACCTATACCACTAAACAGCTCATCCACTCCCTCATCATATCACGACTCGACTACTGCAACTCCCTCCTCACTGGCCTGCCTCTCCGCTGGCTATCCCCGCTTCAGTCGATCCTGAATACGGCTGCCAGACTCATTCACCTTTCCAACCGCTCTGTCTCCGCCACCCCCCTCTGCCAATCCCTCCACTGGCTTCCGATTGCGCAACGGATCAAATTCAAAATCCTAACACTGACGTACAAAGCTGTCCACCATACTGCCCCAAACTACATTACTGACCTAATATCCAAGTACCGCCCAGCACGCACACTCCGCTCCTCACAAGACCTCCTTCTCTCTAGTTCCCTGGTCTCCTCCTCCCATGCCCGCCTCCAGGACTTCTCCAGGGTGTCACCCATCCTCTGGAACTCCCTGCCCCAACCCATCAGATTATCACCTACTCTCCTCTCCTTTAGGTGCACCCTGAAAACCCATCTCTTCAGGGAAGCCTACCCCACCCCCTGCTAACTTGCCGACCTCCACTCTTCCTACCACTCCATCCCCCACAGCTATCTCCTCCTGTGCCACCATCCCCTCCCTCCTAGACTGTAAGCTCGAAAGAGCAGGGCCCTCAATCCCCTCATGTTTTGCATTGTATTGGTATTGTTCTGTCACATGTTCTGTCCCCCTTTGTAATGTACAGCGCTGAGCGAACTATTGGCGCTTTATAAATACTGTATAATAATAATAAATAATAATATACTGAACCTCTGGCTCAATGATTTGGGTCACTTCCTGTGGGGAGCAGAATTCAATTTTGGAGTGAAGATCCATTCTAATATATTAAAGCTACAAGGTCAGCAAGACATCCAGTCAACTAGCATTGGCAGAGTGACATAAACCTTACAGACTGCATATGAGTTTACAGAACCTCATTACTACATACAGACTTACCTTAAACTTCCCCTCGTGGTAATCATCAATTTCATCATTATAGTACTTTGAGGAGAGCTGCAATAGGACAAAACCAAAATTATTTTACCAGAATACAAATCCACATTACAGACAATAATGACAGACTGGTTGGTAGGTTTTACCTCCTTCGTGGAAGGGATATCTGCTTTGGACAAGGATTCATCATACACAAGTTCATCTACTTGGGCTTTTTTGGGCCTCTGATTCCTGCAAGATGATTAAACATTCTCTTTAAACAATAGATTGATCAGATATTAAGAGAATAAAACATTGACTGCATTCTATGTTTACAGTCCAGCCATAATAGAGCTGATAGAGCAGAAGCTCTGATGAAGATGATCCTTCCACAGCCGGACAAAGATCTAAGCACACTACAGATGAGTGTCCTCAGGAGTACCCAGGGCTGAAGGAAAGTGCATGGATGGGGCATAGCTGTGCACATTTTATTTGCTCTCACTAGGTAAATATAAAAGCCATGATCATTGGGAATTTGCTTGAAGTAGGGATTGCATTTTAGTGAGTGGACACATAGGGCCAATGGCCAGAACCCCCAGTGTAAGGGCTCACTGACAACAGCAGTAATTTTGTAAGCTGTTCTCGGTCACTGCAGTGCTACATGTCACAATACCCAGTCTAGCAGTGACCACATGCAGTTGTAATACTGTGTAGCTGCTACTCCACTCAGACCTCTGTGTCTGGAATTGCTTCTATGGTTTCTTTTCACCTCTATCAAGTGATTTGTCATGAGAGTCGAGGGTGAGTGAATGCTTCTAGAATTCTGCCAAAAGCCAGACACACAGGTGTGAACTAAAACGACTAAAAATAATAATTTTGTTTTCTAAAATAACAAACGTGTTATACTCACTTGCTCTGTGCAATGGTTTTGCAGTCAGCAGCCCCAATCCTCCTCTTCTTGGTTCCCCCGCCGGCGATCCTGGCTCCTCCTCTTCTCTGAGTGCCTCCACAGCAAGCCGCTTGCTATGGGGGCACTCATGTGGGCTCGATCTACTGACACACAAAATGTGGCTCAGCCCGGCCCCCTGCTCTCTTTGATTAACAGCTGCTGCTGTTGAGCATACTTTGGGAAGAGGGGAGAGGAGAGCAGATTTGCTGCAGACAGGCATAGTGCTGAATCAAGAATAAGCTCAGGTAAATATTTCAGGGCGGGCTGGGGGAGTTGACAAGGAAAAGTTTTGCTACCTTATTGCAGAGAATGCAAACTTACCTTTACAACCACTTTAAGGTAGCAGTATTTTGTAATTCAACACACCACTGTACCCCTATATAAATGTATATATGTATGAATAAAAAAATCATTGGTGTTTGTCACCTCCATGACCACAGGTGTATAAAAATCAAGCACCTAGACATGCAGACTGCTTCTACAAACATTTGTGAAAAAATAGGTCACACAACAGCAGCACATAGAGAGCTTCATGGAATGGGTTTCCACGGCCGAGCAGCTGCATCCAAGCCTTACATCACCAAGTGCAATGCAATGCATCAGATGCAGTGGTGTAAAGCAAGCCGCCACTGGACTCTAGAGCAGTGGAGACGTTCTCTTGAGTGACAAATCGTGCTTCTCTGTCTGGCAATCCGATAGACGTGTCTGGGTTTGGCGGTTGCCAGAAGAACGGTACTTGTCTGATTGCATTGTGCCAAGTGTACAGTTTGGTGGAGGGGGATTATGGTGTTGGGTTGTTTTTCAGGGGTTGGGCTTGGCCCCTTAGTCCCAGTGAAGGGAACTCTTAAGGCGTCAGCATACCAAGACATTTTGGACAATTTCATGCTCCCAACTTTGTGGGAACAGTTTGGGGATGGCCCCTTCCTGCTCCAACATGACTGCACACCAGTGCACAAAGCAAGGTCCATAAAGACATTCATGAGCGAGTTTGGGGTGGAGGAACTTGACTGGCCTGCACAGAGTCCTGACCTCAATCATAGAACTCCTTTGGGACAAATTAGTGCGGAGACTGCGATCCAGGCCTTCTCGTCCGACATCAGTGCCTGACCTCACAAATGTACTTCTGGAAGAATGGTCAAACCTTCCCATAGACACCCTCCTAAACCTTGTGGACAGCCTTCCCGGCAGAATTGAAGCTGTTATAGCTGCAAAGGGCGGGCCAACTCAATATTGAACCCTGCGGACTAAGACTGGGGGGCCATTAAAGGTCATGTGTGTGTAAAGGCAAGTGTTCCAATACTTTTGGAAAAATATAGTGGGTGAGTGTGTATGTATATATCTATACACACACACACACAGCTTGACAAATTTGCTTTGAATCTAGGAGCCAGCTAAAAAAGTTAAGAACCAGTTTTTTTGATGACGGAGATGGCAGATCTTGAATTTTACACATATAGGGGACTGGAGCCGGGAATGCTTCTGGGTGGGACAGCTTGTTGGTGCTGATATTAGTGATATGTGTTTTGAGGTGAGGTGGGGGGCAATTTTTGTGTTGCCCAGGGCAGCACAAGACCTAAATACACCACTGGAATAGAGGGTAAATCTTCATTGGGGACACTAGTGCTGGCGATGACCAGGGAGTTCCTCTCACTTCCTGTTTGGCTATGGGACAGGAAGTGAAGGGAAATCTCCCCAAAGGGACACATGGCAAAAAAACTGACCGGGGTTATAACCCTCCCATACTATATCCAAAATGTAAAACGTTTTGCCTTTAGATGTACTTTAACTAGTCAGCATTTAGGTAGAGGTGCCCACCCCAGACATAAACCAGGGACAGCTGAGGGAGAGGGTAGGGGTGCAGAGGGATATGCTCCCAAATGAGGCCCACTACCACCCCACGGTCCCAGCCAAGTCCCCCGATCATCACTCACCTGCGAGCCTTCCCCATCCTCCCCTCTTCTCCAGGCTCCGCTCACACGTGTCTCCCACTTCCGGTCCGCCACCTAATGCAGCCCCTCCAGAAACACAACCCGGCACTTTCGTTCCTATTAAACTGTAGACATCTCTTCATTAGTAAATAATGAATGTGTCCTCCGAGTCTGTAATGGCTGTGCCTAGTCCTCATTGATTGGAAGGTCCTTCTGGGACTTCCATCCATACCTTTCTTCAAGTTTCAATTAATTTCACAAAATAGAGTGTATCGGGGTGATGAGCCATGTGTGGGGGTACCTGTGGGAGACACTCAAGTCTCTTTGTCCAATTCCGAGCAAGTACACACATAATATCCGCTGTCTATTAAATACAAGGCCGGGGTGGCTAACCGTCCGTCACCCTCACAGTATACTCTGACCGATGACAGAAATGTTTGTTTCGATTGGAATTTCCTTTTTTTGTCACTTTGTATCCGTTCTGTTTGTTCTGCCGGCGAGAATTGTAGGTTGCACGCGGCCGGCTTCCACTGTTGCTATGACGACGCCCTCTGCTGCCATATATGGTCAGGAGGTGGAGGAGGGAGTCCCGGCTGGATCGGAGGATTTGTCCTGATCTTCCAGGCACTGCAGGATCTCTGCTACCTGTTGCTGTGCTCAGTGTACGAGCCGGGGGTGGAGGAGGACTGATACTACAGGGGAGATCAGGGAGCCTGGAGGACGACTGACAACTCTGGAAGAGTCCAGGAGCTGAGCTGGAGGATGTGTGGATGACTTGGGTCCAAGGATGAGGATCTGATGGGTGAGGGGCACCTAGGAGGCTTTCCTGGACCTCAGTGACTTGGCCCTGGGCTGTGTCTTCTGATTGAGCTTCTATTTCATCTGGAACTGAGCACGACTGGCCCTTTTCTGATGGTGGGACTCCGCTGGGACCTGGGGAAAAGCCTGGTGGATAGAGAAGCTTGGATGTGGTTTGGACCTGGACAGCATTGGTGGAGGTGGAAGTGAACAGCAAGGTTTGGAGATAACCTGGAAGGTCTAGTGTGGAGGTGCTGTGAATAGACTTTAGTTATTAAGGTTAGTAGGTCTTGGGCGTGGCGTGGACATGCTCTTGGACCTGGCCAATGACTGAAGAATTACGTTTTTTTTTAGAATTTTTCTCTTTATGATGGGGTTTTTTACTCCTTGGCCTTGGATATAGGGGTCTTGAGTCTGCCTTATCTTGTCATATCCTGATTACATGTGAGTGGTGGGACTCACATGGGACTTGGGGTACAAGCCTCATGAATGGAAAAGCCTAAATGTGGTGTGGATCTGGACAGCAAGGATATAGGGTATCTTCATACTTGTCTTCTGGTTCATTTGGAGCTGGACCCCTTTATGGTGGAGTTTCGAAGTGATTGCCTTTGGATATAAAGGTCTTCTGGTTCATCTGGAGCTGACTGAGGACTCGTATAAGACCTGATTAAAATGCCTACATGGTGTGGAGGTGAACGGAAAAGGCTGGAAGAACCTGGAAAGTAGGTTTTGGAGGTGCTGCGAACAGGATTTGGTTATCCTGATCAGTAGATCTTAAGCGTGAAGTGGACCTGCTACTGGATCTGGCCACTATTCGAAGAATTAAGTTCAGTATATTCCTTTCTCTTTATGGTGGTGTTTCATAGTTGTTAGCCCTGAATATAGGAGTCTTGAGACTTGTCTTGTGGTTCATCTGGAGCTGGGTATAAGTGGATATTGAGTGGCCAGGACAGAAGACTCCTATGAGACCTGGCTAAAAATCCTACATGGTGGGGAGTTGGACAGCATTGTCAGGGAATGACATGAAGCTGAATAGAAGGATTTGGGGGCGACCTGAAAAGTAGAAATTGAAATTGCTAAGCAGAGCTTGAGTTATCCCAGTCTTTGATTTCTGGTTATGAAATGGCCCTGGATGTAGGAAGTGAGTTTTAGGAGTGATCTGCTCCAGTATAGTGGAGCTCAGTGGACCTGTTCCTTAATCTAGTTACTAATAATAGGGTTTGAGGGCAACCTAGAAAGTAGAGCTTGGTGGTGCTGTGATCAGAAAGGATTGGGTTTTCCTGTTTACTAAGCCTGGGCATGAAGAAGACCTGGTCCTAGAGAGTGGGAATAGGGATAGTGGGGCTTGGTGGTCCTGAATCTGCCTACTGGTCGTATGATTTTGTAAGTAGGAATTGAATGTGTTATGAACTGTGGGGCTTGAGTTATCCCAGTCAGTAGGCCTAGGGTGTGAAGTAGACCTAGACACAAAGCTTAAAGTGCAGGAGTGACTTTGTCTACAACAGCGATCTCTCTTTTTACAGTGGGGGTTCAGTGTGATTTACATAGGGCATAGAGATTTGGTGGGAATTAAAACCTCGGAAATTGAGCTTGAGAGTCTCCGGACCCCATCAACTGTCCAGAGCAGAATGTTGGCCTGTTGAGCTGGCATGGTCTGCTCATGCTTTGGATGATCTAACCTATATTTCTCAGAGCTGATGCGAATTTGGTTGTTATTGAATGCTCTTTAAAAAACTAGGTTCATGGAAATTTAGAAGGACCTGGGACAGTTTGAATTCCCAAAATAAAAAATCCAGATGTTCTCATCCTCTAGCCCCATGGTGTATATACTTGCAGCGTCCTTTCAGAATACCTCTGTTGGTTCTGGACACAAGACATGGACTGTGGTAAAGCCAGACCTGTCTCCCGGTACATTCTCTGCAACTGGTTCTTGCACTGAGAACATGAAGACGGGGAGTTAACGAATACAATGGATAAGGTAACGTTCACCACCTGTTCTGTGCTCTTGTTAATAATTAATTATAACAATTCATTTACCTTTTCTTTTGTTTTCTTGACGTTTTCTTGAGAGCATTGTTGTCATGTTAAAGTTGAGTCCAGTTTTGGACACCGGTGTTTATTGCTGACAGTGTCCCTGTTTGGGAGATTTGCTTTAATTTTCTGTTCCAGTGACAGAAGAGGATGTTATGTCTCCTTTATACATTATAGTACTTATCCCTTGCCACTGAAGAAAAAAGTCCCCACTTTTAAAAATGCCAACAAGCTTATTATTTTAGTTGGGCCAGTTGGTTGTGGAATTTCTGAAGTATGTTGTGATGCTTAAAGCTATCCATGCATGGCTGAATGAAAGAATCTAAAAGTGAAGCTTTAGCCTCTTTATAGGAGACTGTTTGACTTGAATTGTAAAATTATACCTGATGTGCAAGAATGATATCATAACTGAGTTCCTGCTAAAATTGCTGATTGGCTGGTTGGGTCTGGGTTCAATGCTTCGGAGATCTGATGGTAACGACTGTCTAATGGCATTTTCCTCATTTTGTAGAGATGTCCTCTCACTTCCTGTTGAATCTCTAGGAGAGGAAAAGCAAGAAAATCTCTCTGCGACCGCAAAAAATAAACTGACAAGGCTTTTAACTTTTCCCTATTCTATTTAAAAACAAAAAAAGGTTTTAACTATACGTGTTCTTTTAAAGGTTGCTTTATTCTATACCAGGGTTTTTCAACCAGAGATCATGAAACCCTAAGGTTCCTCCAGAGTTTGCTAGGGGTTCCTTGAGCAATAGCTGCCTCTCAGATACGTTCACACTGACACCATTGATCATTTTTAGCTATCTGTAAGGGGTGATTCTTCCCAATGGCCACAGTTGTAAGGAACATTCTTGTCACTGCTCCTCACCCTAACCAGTCATGAGTTGTAGACAGTAATTTTTAGCAGGGATTCCCTGAGACCAGAAAATTAATTCAAGGGTTCCATTGTGTTGAAAAGGTTCAGAGATGCTGATCTATACTTCTAGTTTAGTATTGTGAATCTATTGCCAAACTCAATCAATAACCAGCCTCTTGTATCTCTCATGGACATCACTGGTGAAATGTTCCTAGTGTCATCAAACTGCCTGACTTCTTAATAACAGGTCATGGATTACCTGAAGTGCAGAGTTAAAGTGGAAAACTACTTCAGAAGTTACAAGTACTGTAGCTGCTAACTTTTGAAAGACACATACTTAACAGCCCATGAAGACCAGCACTTTCCACAAAGCCTGATTCTTTGCAGGGCTTCTGAACTTTCTCGCTGCCATCTTGCATTCAGGAGCTGGCTGTCACTTCCTGATTACTCAGTCAGCCCCTTACTGTGCACGAATGAGACAACGGACTGCGCGGGGGGGGGGGGGGGGACGGACAGGTCCTGTAGTCTGCTGGGATGTGTACCCCAGGAGGCTGAAAGAGTGGGCTGAGAGTATGTCTTCCTCACCAAGCCGAGGAACAAGTACCACCACAAAGGGTACTGTGTTTTCCTATAACATGGAGGGAAGGGTCAGAGTGAAATCTGCTGTCAAGAAATCTTCAATATAGGATGTGCAGCGGGATCATAAAGGTACCAAGATGCAGTATAGCCCCAGAACTTTGACCACAATAAGTAATCCTTTCTAGCACAATATTTCAAACCAGTCCCTTCTCACCATAAGATGATCTGAAATATTGTGATTCCTAGATATGAGAAACATTGGTTCTAAAATATCAGGCATCTGCTGCTGCCTTTGCACTAATTGCCTTTAATACTCCATGGAAATACTAATGCTGGCTTAAAGATGCAGGCCCCTGACAATGGGCCTCATCACATTGCTTTATTCATGTAAAGGGAAGCAATTCATATCATACCCAAAATTCTACTGTTCTTGGTTATCAGAACTCCATTGTGGCCTGAACAAATTTTAGAGTTGAGTTTGGAGGACTAACCTTTTTGAGTCTAGAGCAGCTGTTCTCAACCGGGCTTCCTCCAGTGGTTGCCAGGGGTTCCTTGAGCTGTGGCTATTAAACCCCCCATTTGATGATGCTGTAATAGTTCCTGCAGCATGGCAGGCACCAGTAATCTTTCAGCCATGCAGAATAATGTAGATAACTGCTCATAATGTCAATGGGCCCTTAGCTTGCTTTTTGTCTTTTTTTTTTTTTTTTAAATCTTGCTACATTTGTAGTGCAGGTTTGGTGCGAATAAAAAAAAAAAAACTTGCCCAAAACTAACCTTCCCATTAAAATGAACAGAAAACACATCAAATGCACCTGTGTTGTGTGTTTGGTGTGGTTTTTTGTGTCCTGTAAAAAAAAACACACTGCAAATGCAGCAAAAAAGCAGCATATGCTTTTTCAGTGTGGAAGTAGTCATAAGTGGGTATTCTTGCTACTTGCTACCAATGTAAGAGGCATTTTCTCATTGACCTCCAATGCATTGGTTTTAGCAGGCGTTTCTCAAGACTCTCTGATTTCTTTAAACATTTCAGCTATGTTCCCTAAGGTCTGTTTAATGTTGCTGATTGTTAATTAGAGAAGATTCATAAGTATGGAAGTTTCTACTCTGATTACATACTTCATTTCCTGGCTGATGTTGAAAATTAATTTCAGTCATTCAGTTGCTTAATTTGCACTTCTAAAGGTGTGCACTGTAGACACTGCACATTAAGGGGCTGCCCATTGCTTAGCAGTTTGCAAGTGATAGTTCATATAGACTTGAAACACACTATATTGCCAAAAGTATTGGTCGGCCTGCCTTTACACACACATGAACTTTAATGGCATCCCAGTCTTAGTCCGTAGGGTTCAATATTGAGTTGGCCCGCCCTTTGCAGCTATAACAGCTTCAACTCTTCTGGGAAGGCTGTCCACAAGGCTGAGGAGTGTGTCTATGGGAAGGTTTGACCATTCTTCCAGAAGTGCACTTGTGAGGTCAGGGACTGATGTTGGATGAGAAGGGCTGGTTCATAGTCTCCGCTCTAATTCATCCCAAAATTTATGGACCTTGCTTTGTGCACTGGTGGGCAGTCATGTTGGAACAGGGAGGGGCCATCCCCAAACTGTTCCCACAAAGTTGGGAGCATGAAATTGTCCAAAATGTCTTGGTATGCTAATGCCTTAAGAGTTCCCTTCACTGGAACTAAAGGGCCAACCCAACACCTGAAAAACAACCCCACACCATAATCCCCCCTCCACCAAACTGTACACTTGGCAAAATGCAGTCAGGCAAGCACCATTCTCCTGACAACCGCCAAACCCAGATGCATTCATCGGATTGCCAGACAGAGTAGCGTGATTCGTCACTCCATAAAACACTTCTCCCCTGCTCTAGAGTCCAGTGGCGGTGTGCTTTACACCACTGCATCCGACTTTGCATTGCACTTGGTGATGTAAGGCTTGGATGCAGCTGCTCGGCCATGGAAACCCATTCCCGTTCGCACTGTTGTGCTAATCTGATTTCCACACAAAGTTTGGAGGTCTTTAACTGTTGACTCTGCAGACAGTTGGCAAATTCTGCACACTATGTGCTTCAGCATGCACTGACCCCACTCTGTCATTTTTACGTGGCCTACCACTTTGTGGCTGAGTTGCTGTTGTTCCCAGTTGCTTCCACTTTGTTATAATACCACTAACAGCTGACCGTGGAATATTTAGTAGCAAGGAAATGTCACGATTGGACTTATTGCACAGGTGACCACCTATCACGGTACCACGCTTGAATTTACTGAGCTCCTGAGAGTGACCCATTCTTTCACAAATGTTTGAAGAAGCAGTCTGCATGCCTAGGTGCTTGATTTTATACACCTGTGGCCATGGAGGTGGTTGGAACACCTGAATCTAATGATTTGGAGGAGTGACCCAATACTTTTGGCAATATCGTGCATATGCTTGTGCAACTTTTGAAACTGAAAGGCACTGGTGGATGTATGTCAGGAAAAGTGTTTAAAGCTGTTTGACTTTCATCCTAAATATAAACTTCCTTACCCCCCTCCCCTTCACATTTGAATATAATTTTTTTAACCTCATAGGGTATTTGTGGTACAATAGAGACTACACATGCCTGTGAACTATTGCTTAGTCTTAAACTGATGTCATTCCCAATCTTCCTGCTCACTGAAAGATCTGTCATCACCCACCCATCCAGACATGACCTCACCCTTCCACTGAATCACAACAGGAAATCATTTATACATTTTGAATAAGAAATAAATAAAATAAGTTTTGTTTCTGAAACATTAGCTTTGTAGAAATGTGTTGCTGTTCTAGTTCCCATAATATTCTTATGTCCCTCCATTATAATAGATAAAACACCAAATTGAAGCTTTTTGACTCCCTGTATCTAAGCACCTCTCCAGTGTTTGTGTTTACCGCTTGTTGGTGGGCAGACAACTCAAGCTGAGTGGCGTTCCTTCTATGATCAAAAAAATTAGAAGATACAACAGTAGTTATTGATTGTGTTAGCAAAGTACACGTTCAGCTCTGATTATACACTGCTCAAAAAAATTAAAGGAACACTTTCTAATCAGAGTATAGCATCAAATCAATTAAACTCCGGGATATTGATCTGGTCAGTTAAGTAGCAGAGGGGGTTGTTAATCAGTATCAGCTGCTTTGGTGTTATTGAAATGAACAGGTGCACTAGATGGGCAACAATGAGACGACCCCCAAAACAGGAATGGTTTTACAGGTGGACGCCACTTACATTTTTTTTTTTTTTTTTTTTTTTACCCTACTCATCTTTTCTGACTGTTTGTCACTAGTTTTGCATTTGGCTAGGGTCAGTGTCACTACTGGTAGCATGAGGTGATACCTGGACCCTACAGAGGTTGCACAGGCAGTCTAACTCCTCCAGGATGGCACAGCAATACGTGCCATTGCCAGAAGGTTTGCTATATCTCCCAGCACAGTCTCAAGAGCATGGAGAAGATTCCAAGAGACCGGCAGTTACTCTAGGAGAGTTTGACAGGGCCGTGGAAGGTCCTTAACCCATCAGCAGGACTGGTATCTGCTCCTTTGTGCAAGGAGGAACAGGATATGCATTGCTAGAGCCTGAAAAAAAAATTACCTCCAGCAGGCCACTGTTGTGAATGTCTCTGACCAAACAATCAGAAGTAGACTTCATGAGGGTGGTCTGAAGATCCGACGTCCTCTAGTGGGCCCTGTGCTCACTGTCTGGAACCAGAGCTCGATTGGCATTTACCATTGAACAACAGAATTGGCAGGTCCACCACTGACGTCCTGTGCTTCTCACAGATGAGAGCAGGTTCACCCTGAGCACATGTGACAGACATGAAAGGGTCTGGAGAAGCTGTGGAGAACATTACGCTGCCTGTAACATTGTTCAGCATGACCATTTTAGTGGTCGGGCAGTGATGGTCTGGGGAGGCATATCCATGGAGGGACGCTCAGACCCCCACAGGCTAGACCAGTGTTTCTCAACCTTTTTTTCAGTCAAGACACCCTTTAAAATTCTGAACAATCTCAAGTCATCCAATCTAAAATGTGAAAAACTATTCTACACTCATCCAGTACACCCAACATTAGAGGTGATTTATTCTTCCAAAGCAAATACACCTTTGTACACTGGTACTGACTATTATTCCAGTGTGTCTCTCCCATTTTCTCTCCCTCACTCTGCTAATGTGACCCCAGTGCTGACAGAGAGGGTCAGGGGAGGGCCAAAAAAAGATGATGTGCAGGCACCCGACGTCCTTATCAACTGATGACAATGGCTAAGAGGCTGGGCTAGACAATGGCACCCTGAAATGGCACCCTGACTGGCACCCCATTCTAAACTGTGAAAAACTATTCTAATAGTTTTACATAACACCGCAACATCCACACATGTAGGACACCCAACATTAGAGGTGACTTATTCTTCCAAAGCAAGTACACTTTTGCACACTGGTACTGACTAGTACTCCAATGTTTCTCTTCTCCCTCCAGTTTTTCTCCATCACTGAGCTAATGTGACCCCAGCACTGATGGAGAGGGGAGGGTCAAACTAGGATGCTGTGCAGGCAGCTGATATCCTCCTTATCAACTGATGTCATTGGCTGTCAGGTGGCTCAAAGGTCGTAATGGTGCTCAATGAAAACCTGTGATTTTGTGTAACTAAAAGGCAGGCTTGTTCCACCCGCTGGTTTGTAGACAAGTTTTGGGAAATTTTTAGAGCTTTTGCCAAGGCACCCCTGAAGAAACCTCAAGGCGCCCCAGGGTGCCTGGACACCCTGGTTGAGATAGGCTGCTCTAAAGGATTCCCTTAGCTCCTAAAAGGGAGCTACATAAAAGGTGATGTAGGAAAGTGAAGAGATAGATGGAGGCGATGGGCCACCGAAGACACTCTAAAAAGAAAAGAGGTGCAAGGAGGGAGGGGGGTTTTAGGCAATTGACTCTTCTTTGAGGAGTCAAGTTCTCTAGTTTCAGAGATCCATTGCAAGTGACTGACAGCATTTAATGAAAGGAAAAGCACTGCAAGTAAGAATTTAAAATACAGATTGTCTTCTGTGCTTTAACCTGAAATATATTTTAAGTTGGTGACGGTGGTTTCTTTCAGCGTTGGACACTGTCTGTAGAATTTGTGCATGTTTTCTCACATTCCAAAAATATACTTGTAGGTCACTTGAATTCTTCCAAAAACTTGGCCCTAGTGTGTGTATGAGTGTGGTGGGGACTTTAGATTGTAGGGGGAAAATGGTTCTATCCACTCTATTAAAGCTTAATCAAAGTATAGAAATTACATATACGGGTCAAGTTTCAAATCTCAATAGTTTCATCCTGTTTCTTAACCTCCCTGGCCGTATTCCCGAGTGTAGCTCGGGGTAAAGTTTCAGTACCACAAGCGGTAACCCCGAGCTACACTCCTTACCATGCTTACCATGCGGCGCTGCTCCTGGATCCCTCGATCACTTACCTTGTCCTGCGCTCCTGCGATGTCCCTCCTGCAGTGTCCCCAGCAATGTAATCCGGCGGATGACGGCATCTGTCATCTGGGTTCCGTCCCCTGCGAGCGTCGGGACATACGGGGATGGAACTGGCGGGAAATTTGAAAATGACAAAAAGTGACATTCACTAAAATCACCAGGTAAAACATTGCTGTTTCAAACCATTTCACATACATTTTGTCCCGAGTGCTTTGTCCTGTGCCCTGCCTGCATTTTTACTGTTCTTTCCGCCTGGAAACTGAGAAATGTCCATGGCGTCCAAAAAGCGTCCCTTTAGGTCAAAAGCGGTTTTAGACCAGCTAGAGAACAGCGATAGTAAATCAGAACCACTTGCAGAATTGAGTGATAATGATTTGTGGGGAAATTCGTCATCAGACACTGAAAACGATTCTGCGACTTTGCTCAGTGATGTGCGAACTTGGCGCTATATTTCAATTTCAGTGTTTTTGGTTTGATTATATTATTGAATTAAATTTATTATTATTTTTCATGATTATTTATTAAATTATAATTTATGATTTTGTGTTTCAAGTTTTATCACACCTGGGATGTTTACTAGACTCTTGTTCGGACAGATTTCAGTGAGTTATTCCTAAAAATTACAGGCCTACAATAAAAAAAAACATATTTCCATGCAAAAACATTTACCGCTTTGAGCACTGAAATATGGACATAATCAGACCGCTAGGGAGGTTAAACAATCTCTGTACATTTTAGCCCCAGTAAATACCTTAGAATCAGTCCAGAGATCCCCATCTGCTTTATATCTGTATCTGCATTATATTCTGCTCTCTCAATACCTCTTTTTTGTAGTCCCACATTAAGATGCACACATTTAGATTTAGAGCAGAGAGTAAGTGATGATCCTAAGTGAAAAAACACAGTCCTGGCAAACCTTTAGACAAGCATGTTGGCACTGGGAGGTGCAGATTTTAGTTGTGCTGTGATGATTAGTTGCTTGGTTATTGTTCCAGATGCAGGTCTGAGAATGTAATCAAGCAACTGATGGGCACACTGCATAGCTAAAGTCTACACCAGTGGTCTTCAAACTGCGTCCCTTTGCTTGCTTTTATCTGGCCCTTAAGGCATATTTCTGCCACCGACACCAACAATGGGGCATAATTCCAGCCACTGATACCAACACTGGGGCACTATTTCTCCCACTGACACCAATTATTTCTCCCCCTAATGCCATTGTTTAATCCCACTGGTCACAATCCCCCCACCACCCTAACATCGGAAGGACAGTAAACGGCCCCCTTCTTTAGAAAGTTTGGAGACACCATCCTGGGTCCAGCTCCTTCCTGGAATTTGCATGTCTAAAGGGTGTCCAGAGGATGTGTTCTTTCACTTTTGCTGTCAGCATTTTGTGTCGGTGAATAATGCCCTTTTTTTATTAAAATAATGAATGCTACCCAAGTAATTCTTTTAGGAGCTTTTTTTAACAGCTCTATAAATGGTTTGCAAGAAGGAAGAAGGTGCTGTGGTCAAAGGAGACCCAAATTTAACTTTTTGGCCTAAAATCAAAATGCTATGTGTGACGGAAAACAAACACTGCACATCACCCTGAACACACCATCCCCACAGTGGAGCATGGTGGTGGCAGCCTCATGCTGTGGGGGTTTTCTTCAGCAGGGACAGGGAAGCTGCTCAGAATTGATTGGAAGATGGATGGAGCCAAATACAGAGCAATCTTAGAAGAAAACCTGTTAGCCTGCAAAAGACCTGAGACTGGGGCAGAGGTTCACCTTCCAGCAGGACAATGACCCTAAACAAACATACAGCCAGAGCTACAATGGAATGGTTTAGATGAAAGCATATTCATGTGTTAGAATG